GCAGAAACAGGAGTCATCTAAATACCTTATCTGTAGGAGCAGTCAACAAGTATAGAGATAGTGCTAGGCTTTCTTATTAGAAAGACCAGCACGTTCTTCAAACACAATGTAAACTATGTTAATTTGTTGTTTTATACAAATAATAAAAAAAAAATATAAAACATCAATTATTATGAAACCTTTTAAAACTGAAACCATTATAATTTCCCTTTAATGAACTAGACTGGTTTTATTAAATCTAAAAACATTTTTGTTGTTTAATTGAAAATGACTACAAAAGGTTATACATGAAGGCTGTTGTCAGAGCCAACAGATAACCACAGAGATTTCAGTTGCCTCCCAATCATGTTTCAAGAAGGCCTGGAATGAAAGGGTATCTAAACTGTAACAAATAACTTCTTTTATTTGGCCCCTTTGGGTCTGTTAAATATACAATTGAAAGTGTTCTGTTATACCGGTTTGAGAGGTGAAAAACAAATGTGTTGTACTTGCCAAAAATCTTGTCAGCTGAACATTTTCTGCACTGACTGTTATTAGTTACTGTGTTCTCAACTATTTATGAGGACTACAAAACTCCTTCTCTCTAGGTTATGGAAAAGAGAAGGTGTTCTTTAGTCCTGTCCTGTGATGACAGCACTGTTTCTCCATATATACAGTCAAGGCCAAAAATATTGGCACCCCTGCATTTCTGTCAGATAATGTACACCTTCGTGCAGAAAATTGTTGCAATTACAAATGTTTAGGCATTCTCCTGTTTATTTCTTTTGTTTGTATTGGTATGACACAAAAAAAGTGGAGAAAACAAAAAGGCAAACCTGACATTTGTAATTGCAACACGTTTCTGTGCAAGTGGTGCATTATTTGACAGGATGACTGTACATTAACATTTTCACATTTGGGCAGGAAGTGTGTTACTGGCAGAATTAACAGGTGAGAGCCTAAACTAATGCAGACACCACATCTAAGGACTGGTAAGCTGCAATATTACATTTTTTAAATGTAGTTTTTATTGGTTTTGTATACTTTTAGGGTTACACAGATACCAAGTACAGTACTCGGTACAAGTACGAGTACATGTGCCGATACTTTTGAGCTCCAAGACTACACTAGAGAAAAATTCAAAAATGATGAGGTTGCAGGTGTCATTTGTAAGGAGCACACGGAACTCCTGTGATTTGTACATCTCTGTTTTAATGTATGATTTTGTTTTGATAAATAAAGGGATGCACAGATACCAGTTTTGCGAGTACGAGTACTGATACTTGTCCAAGTACTTACGAGTACTGATACATTTTTGGTAATTGTCATGTGACAGTTTTTCTAAAACAATACAGACTAATGATTTCAGGACAGTGGTGGAGCGACAGAGCCAGGTCACCGCTGCAACACTGGTAGTTATCATGAAAATGCCAAGTATCTGCACTGGTACTCGAAAAGTATCTGTGCATCACTACTTTTAAGGAACTTGTTCCAAAATAAATATTTTCCGAGCAAACCAAGAAAATATCTGCTTCAAGCACTTCTGACAATCGAAGTTCCTCTTGTTCTGAACTTACTCCCTGTATAGATGGTCCAGCTATAGTAAATGTTACAAGCTGTGCTAGAATTGTTCACATGGTTCAGAAATCTCATGGTACGCATAGCCAGTCTAATTTAACTGCAGAAAATGCAGCCAAAAAGATTCCCCATTAAAAGACCAATACTTCACCAGCGTATCATCTTACAACACAACTGCAGGGGGTAAGCTGTCAAAGCAACGAAAGTGTGCTGTATATTATATAAATTTCACTGCACAGAAAATGGTTTCAAAATGACACATCAATAACACATTTTCTTATGAGTTTAAATAATGTAGCCAGCGGGGGATATTGTTTGCTAAAATTCTACTGCATGTATTGATGCAAGGTTGGGTGTCTGACATATACTATATGCACAGTACATTTAGGGGTGATTTGGTAAAAAAAAGAACTCAAGGAAAAAACCCCCGGACCCTACCCCCGGACTTTTTGGTTTTGGTCTACGGAGTAAAATAAAAAAAGTTATACTCACCCGATCCTCTGAGCTGCCTTGCTCTTATTCTGGTCCTTCCAGCCCCGCTCCCTCTCTGCTGCAGCAGCCTAAGGTTCCTGAGTCATCACGTTCTATACGCTGTGTATAGAATGTGGGGAAACGGAGAGGCATACCATCGTTGCAGCATAGGAGGAGGAAGGCTGGAGGGAGCGCTGTCATAGCTGCCCGGCTCGGAGGATGGGGTAAGGATAACTTTTATTTGCCTCCCTATACCAAAACAAATTATGCTCGGAGTTCTTCTTAGGTCAGTCTATTTTCCCATTCTTACTACACTGACCTCATCCATGTATCCCCACTCAAAATAGCCATCTCTGCATCCACAATGATGTTTTCCTCTCTGATATAAAAGTACCTGGCTGCAAGCCCATCTTTCAAATTATATTTTTTATCTGTTTGCAATTTATGGAAGTATAGTTAACGAAAACAATACTATATAAAGAAAAACATTTGGGTTTGCTTAATTCACAATCCATAGGTGTTCATGTGATCCTCCTTCCTTCCTGCCTGGGTTTACATTTAGCCCATTGGGTCACAGCTATTGCAAAGTACAGAGCCACTCATATTGGATTTTGACATCATGACTGTGATCCAAACTGTCCAATGACAGCTGTGTTCACAGCCATATACAGACACACTGGCTGCCCAAGTGTGCTTTTTAAAGTGCTGTTTATAGACGGCATTTCAGAAATACATGTCCACCCCCCCCCTCAAAAAACTGTTAAAGGAGAACTATGAGATGAGTGATTTCCACTCACCTCATAGTTCTAAGCCGACCTGTGACAATGAGACTGTCACAGGTCGGCTACTGGGCGGATCCCGTCATCTAAGTCGGGATCCGCTCCAGGTGCGGCGTCTCAGTATACCGCGAGCTGTAGCTCGCGGTATACTGAGCTTAGGGTAACGGGAGGGCGCTAGTTTGTGTCCTCCCGTTACCCTAAGGAGAACTATGGGGAAAAACACTGACCCCATAGTTCTCCTTTAAATACCGAAGGTGGTTAAAGAACAACTCTGGACATTTATTTTTGTTTTGGATAGAGTGGGAAGGGATATTTTTCCCTAACTTTGTCTTTGGTCACTAGGGCAGGAAGTGAGGGAAATATCCCCAATGGGTTTTTTTAATGGCAATAAAAACCTGGTTACAATCCTTTCCTGCTCTGAACAAAGCGAACCTAAAACAAAAATAGTTTTTCTGGAGTTAGGCTTTAATGTTAAAGGCAGCCTTTACATTTCTACTTGGCAGTTGGTCCTGTTCCAATAATGGTGCAAAGTCAAGTTGCAGATATAAAGGGAACAAATTAATACACCTCTATTATCATTAATCATGACATTTATTTTTAACTTGACTTGGTGTTAACTTCTTGTATTCTAAAATAAAATCTATAAAATTGAGCTCGAAGACAGGCAGGGAGGAGCAGCACAAAGAGTCAATCGGGTGTGCTGCAGTGCAGGGTGCCATGCTGATGGGAGCAAAGAGCAGACTGACAGAGACATGAGCTCATCAATGTGCTGCATTTCCTTTTGCTGTCCAGTCATGGGGTGGGACTGCAGAGGAGACTGTAGAGAAGAAAGATCAGGTTCCCTGCAGGCAGGACTGTTCTGTGTAGCAGAGCTGTGTAACCCTCAGGACTGTATAGACAGTAATACAGCTCTCATTTATGTATCACACCAGTGTATTTAGCTGTGTGCCCAACTTGCAACAATCTCAGACCAAAACAAACATGCTTTTGAAGGCGCATTTTGGGTACCATTCATAATGTGTGTGCAAAAGAAATGCGTGATTTTGTGCGCTGTGGAAACACACAATTTTGTGCATGTTCATCTAAACACAGGTGTTTTTATTGCTATCTGTAACCATGCTGCTTTTAGCAGGGGTAACACTTTTGGGGTCTTTTGGTAAATGTTTTCACACGAGTTACACATTTTCTAAGTGGATATTGAATGTCGTGTGAATCTTGTGAGAAAATATTTATAAGTAAGATTACAGTCCATAAACCCATCCCACTCCTAACAGTCTGGTCCCTAGGGTTTAGTGGATGCTGCGGTGACAAAATAGATGGTGCTGTCACAGATATGAAGATAAGAGAACACCAGCACTTCAAAAGTTGCTGAAGAGCACATCTTTTATTGATGTATGTTTGTATAAACACATAATAGTAATGTTTTGGGGTCACGCTGGATCCCCTTCATTAGACAAAACCATGTGTTATATCCATCTGTGTCACATGATTTTGCCTGATGAAGGGGATCCTGCGTGACCCTGAGAGTCGTGATTATACAAACATTCACAAATAAAAGACATGTTCTCCAGCAACTTTGGAGTGCCGGTGTCCTCTCATTTTAACATAAAGTTAAAGTGTAGCTTGCAAACAGACAGAGATCCTTCTTAGGACCACATTATAATTGTGTCAATGTGCATAATATTTTACACTTTTACTAATGTATGAATTTGTTCAAATCCATGTTAGAGTGTCTAGTCAGCCTGGCTATTATGCCAAATGTCTGCAGACTCCATGTTTTTATAGCCAACGCAATACAAATATCTACTAAAACATGGTAACTCAGTGATCTGACTATTCCCTATGGCAGTGGTGTATTGATCACAATAGTGATTGAACAGAATTGCAAATCCTTGGGCAGACAATGCATTTCACATATGTGTTCTTTAGCTGTATATTAGCTTTTTTTGCTTGGGGTTGAGCTTTAAGAATTATGTTAGACAAGATATTGTTGTGTTTTTGTTTTTAGCAGAAATGTTTTTTCCATTTTTCTTTGTTGTGCAGTGGTCGTGGTTGTTACTTTTAGAAGCATTTGCAGTGGCTTTCAGAGCGAGCTGAAACAAAACAAAACGGTTCAGTAACTTTTATATGTTCATCTGACATGGCAAATAATTGCCTTTAAGTTCTTAACATTGCCCTCTTCTTTTCTGCTAGGTATTGAAGATATTGTAGCAATAATGATCCCAGAGCCGAAAGGAAAAGAAATCGCAAGCTTAATTGAAAGGAACCTTAATGTGACTATTTACATTACTATCGGAACACGGAATTTACAAAAGTTTGTCAGCCGTACATCAGTGGTGTTTGTTTCCATATCCTTCATTGTCCTAATGATTATTTCACTGGCCTGGCTTGTCTTCTACTACATCCAGAGGTTCAGATACGCAAATGCTCGAGACAGAAATCAGGTGAGTTCTGTTTATGTAACAGTTTTCAATACAAGGGAATTTTACAGCCACTGTTTGTGTAATTAAACTGTGCACACATGTAATATGCAGAGCATCCGTTAAAGCAGTAGTAAACGCTCAATCTTTTCAATAATGAATCCAGGTCAAACCAATTTACTGTACATTGCCCTGCAAAATATTTCTGTAATTCTTTAATACTGTAATACTTAGTCATCGTGTTTCCAAACAGATGGCTCCAACTCTTTTTCAGCTGAACCTGTCCTGTACAAGATCACAGGAAAGAGAAAGGAGGTGGGGTAGCAGGGGGGAGTGGATTGTCTTCCCTTGCTGTGTCTGGGTGTTTGTGGAGATGTACACAGCTTACAACACACACAAGGGTGACTCCATAGGACCCGGCAAGGAAAAGGAGCCACCCTAAAATGAAAGATGAGGGCCAGTGCACAGGAGACCAGCTGATTAATTTAAACATTTAAACATCAAGGAGCAGCATCCATTGTAAGTGGTTTAATCAGCATTTTGAAATGGCTTAAAGCATTTTGACTTTAATATCACTTTAAGATGGGCTGAGCAGAACCAAAAAACCCCTTCAGTAAAACCTGAGCCTATTCTGCTATTCCAGACTGCATAACGCACAGAGTGCAGATGTCAGCACTGAAGCACTCAGTGTAGAGTTTAGAAGTAACACACAGAGCAGAGGTCAGGAGTAAGTAATGCACAGTGCAGAGGCCAAAAGTAAGTAAGCACAAAGTGTCTCTCAAAGCAGCAGTTCCCTCTCTCTCTCAATACAAAAGTAATGCATACCCCAGGTTGAGAACTGCTGCTCTAGATAATTTTAAAATACACTTGCGCTCATTCTGAACTGGTTATTCACTAACAGAACTGACAGGCAGGTACCTAGAGGTGCCTACATATACCTTTTACATAGCTTCCAGATTACCACCTGAGAATACGTTTTTAACTAAAGGCAACCCAGTGCCCCAGGTTTCAGAACACTTTTGGGATTATGTGCAAGGTATTTAAATGTATGTTCAGATACCTGAGCCTATCGCATTTAACCTTTTCTACCTCTGAACCATATTTGCAACAGTTTTACATATATATCATATTTACATATATATATCTATCATATTTATATCAAGTGTTTCAAACTTGTTCTTTAAAACTCTCACATGCCTACCACCTACAACTCCCAGGACCCTGCCAGTGGCAGTTTTAAAGCAAACCTGTCACTTGGCATTACTCATAAAATCCTTATGCTTAGGAGTATAATATACCATATGCTCCCTTGCTGAGGTTGGCTTACAGTACACTTCACAGGGTAGGAGGAGTGGCTTAGAGGACACTTCACAGGGGAGAAGCAGTGGGGTAAATTGCTTACAGGACACTACTAAGGGTAGGAGTGGGGGAGTGGCTTAGAGGACACTACACACGGGAGAAGGAGTGGGTGGTGGCTTAGAGGACACTTCACAGGGAAAGGGGTGGGGAGTGGCTTAGAGGGCACGATACAGGGTAGAAGGAGTGAAGGGAGTGGCTTAAAGGATGCCTCACGTGGAGGAGTGGCTTCAATGGCACTTCAAAAGATGGGGGGCATTTACCTCCGCATTGCATCTAGTTCTTACATGGGGATTTCAGTACTATAATATTGTACTGTTAGATTGGAAAATTGGCTTTCAGCACAAGCAGGTTTTATGTATTCGGTGTTAAATACATTTTAGATTGCGTTTTTAGTAAAAACAGAAGTGTGAATTTAAAAATAAGTGAAACGATGAAGTGCTAGCATAAAAAGCATCCAATTCTACACTATTTGGTCAGCAAAGCGTTAGAGGACCAGAACTGCTCTTTTTATATAAAGGTTATGCATCAACCTTTAACTTCAATGTATTTAGTAGATATATAGGATTTCATACATAGCATAGTATGTTTCTGTTTCGATTTCCTGAACCATTTATCAGACAGATGTAAAGATAGAATTATATCCAGATGTGGAATGTGTTGTAAAAATTGTTTGCCACAGAAGTTTCATACTGAAAATTTTCAGACGGTGTCATTAAACACTGAGAATTAGATACCTTCCCTACTGTGTGTAAAATGGAGAGTGTTATAATAAATATCCTGATGGTGCTGATACACAGGGGTCTCTGTGTTTCTGTTGACATAGCCACACAAGGCAAGTTCTGTGCAAGAGGCTGTTCTTACTTGAACACAGCTTAATGGCTTAGTAAATTTAGAAAACCATGCCGGGAGAGAAAACCTCAATCACAACATACACTGCATGAAGTTCACCAGAGGCATGAACGTGTTTTCTAATTCACTGAAATAACCAATAACCATTAATCAGGTAGAATCTGTGACAAGTAAAAATGTTAAAACTGCATGGCCTGAAAGCAAGCTTGTAGTGAGTCCCGGTACAATAAACTGCCGTTAGGAGGATATGGTAGAATCCATAAGATAATTTTAATTGCTTTGTGTTATTGCACATATATCAGTACATAAGGTAAACCTGGTTTATAGTTTAAGCCTATCTCCAGGGAAAACAAAATCATCAACGCTTGCGGTGTGGCCTCCCCCACACTGCATGGGTTAACTACTTGTTAAAAGAGAAGTATTGAGAGAGTAAAATGTACTCTTCCCAATACTTAGAGCTGGCTTGGTACACTTCAGCTGTCTCACGCTGGCTCTACAGATGAAGAGCTGAGCGATCACGAGTCGATGATTGCTCAGCTCACACTATTCTCCCTGTTCCCTTCTCCCTGACTCGGTCACTGCTCCCTACAGGGATTCCTACCTCCCTTCTCCATTCCTCCAGCACTCATTGGACCAGCTAGACCTGGCACTAGAGAGGTAGAGCCAGCTGTCAATTGGGCAGCGGGGTGGATCACGACAATATTGTCAGGATCCTTCCCAGATGCAACGTGGCTATTTGCGGTCAGCATATCGAGGACCGTAGCCAGCTATATGCCGAGTTTGGGTCACAGGAGTGTATTAGTAATTTTGCTCTTGTAATCCAAAACAAAGCCAAAAAAAAAAAAAAAAGATTTGGTTTCAGCTCTCAATTAATGCCTAGGTGCAGCAGATAGTCTGGATACAGACTTTGACAGGTCACTTCTCTTCATTCCCGACCACAATCTGCAGTGTAGACGGTCTCTTGACTGACGGCTCTTATTCCAAGGTCTCTGCACTTTCCCAACACAAAACAAGGCTCCCCTTACATTTCTTGTGCCTATGCTGATTCCTGTGAGAGTGTACCCCCTCCTTCTGCAATCCTGGGATCTCCCTTGTGTCTGGATAGTGCAGGGATAGTGAGATAAGACATGTCAATCAAGAGTCTGTCTACTTTGCACAGAGTGGTTGGGGAGAGGAGTGAACTATCAAAGTCTGTATCTCTGTTTTTACTGCACACAAACGCATGGGATAAAAAGCAACTTACACTGTGGTGGATAGGTTACTGAGCTGTGAAGAATAATGCAAGGTAAGACGACTTTTTTTTTTTAATGGATCTGAGAACGCAAAGTCTTTTTTCTTGACCCATGACTCTCAAAGAATTTAAAGGACAGTGGGCACAGACAGCAATTTACTATGATGTTCTGGTTTAAGATATCAGTAGTTTGTTGGTGGGTGGTACTGCTGTCCTGCCATGTGCCCAAAGAAAGGGGTGAGTAATTTGCTCTGTTAAGTAGTTTGGGGGGGGTACATTGCATCTTAGTATGTGTAACCATTAAAACCCAAGTAATCCTATAGTTGGCAGACCACCTAGCAGTGCAAACATCAACACTTACCTCTTGTGAGTGTGAATACAAAGCTTCTTGTCCTCCTGGTTAAGAGTTTATTGATGGTTCGCACTCTAAATACATAAAACCTGCTCTCTTACGAAATTTGAAAGGCTGAAGTTTTCAGGCAAGACCCACCTATAATAGATGGGCATTTTTATAAAATACATTATAGGAATTCTGCACTAAAGAGCTTCTACAGCAAGGTACTGTAAGGCCCCATTCACACTGAGCGATTTGCATTTTGAGCGATATTGTGCGTTTGTCGCGCGATATCGCGCAAATGCTTGCATTGAGCAAGCTAGAATCCGCTCCAAAAAGGGTCCTGCTGTAGCGACGCACGACCCGCGACAGCGACGGACAGAGCCCCATTGCCATGCATTGGAGAGCGATATCGCGCGGTAAATAGCCGCGATATCGCGGGAATTACCGCGCGATAAATCGCTCAGTGTGAATGGGGCCTTACATTATCTATAACTACCACTATTATCTTTTAGTTAATGTGTCAATTCTCCTTGGTTGCCATAGATTTCTGCACTCTTTATTCAATGTTTGTTTTATTTTTTGCCCTCTCTTTCCGAATGAGTGCAAGGTTTATTTGGTGCACCTGTTGCCCCTTTTAACTGTATTGTGGAATACATTGTATGTATTATATGTATATTTAGCTGTTACCTGGAGTTCAGCTTTAAGTAATGATTTCATGATTAAATTAGTTATAGCAGTTTGTTTCAAAAAATTTTATATTGCCCGGTTTTTAATACAGTAAATAGTTTACAAATTACATCTGACAAATCCAGTCAGTATGTAAAAATATATATATCTATATAACTCAAATAAGTCTAGTAAGGAAAAACCTGGTTGGGTGCCACAAGTTAATGCCATTTGCACTGTAGCTTGCCATTTTGCCAAATACCTATTAATAATAATACCTAATGATAGACCTTATATATATACAGGTGAAACTCAAATAATTAGAATATCGTGCAAAAGTAATTGCAGTAAGTGCTGCAAAAGGGGCCCAAACTGGGTACTGAGTACATAAGCGTGCTTGAACTTTTCAGAGGTCCGATATTGTTCTATGTACAATCCTTGTTTTATTGATTGCATGTAATAATCTACTTTTTTGAGGTTGTGGATTTGGGTTTCTTGGGGTTTTCATGAGCTGTAAGCCATAATCATCACAATTATGACAAATCACGGCTTGAACTATCTTGCTTTGCATGAGTCTATCTC